CTAATTTTCGAGAAAATCGCATTTCTATATTTTTGTAGTTCCAACTTTCGCCGCTAGATGGACGCCAATTTTTTAGTCCATGAAATGGGTTATTTTTCTATTTTCCTTAATAATTGTCCTAGCAGGCTATAATTACATTCGTTCGATTCCGTAGGCGACAAGAAACAATTTGTATATCTCAAAATTTCGGAAAAGTCCCTAGTTTTCGAGAAAATCGAAATTTTAGTTTTTCGTAGTTCCGCCGCTCACCGCTAGATGGCGCCACCTGTACCGTTTTCGACCGAATTCGACAAAAATTGATTTCCTGGCTTTATTAGGCATCAAAACGCATCAAACCCTAATAGAAATTTGTTTCTAAATGCCTCGGGAACCATACTACGTCGCCAAAGTGCCGAAATATTGCACTTTGCATTCGCGATAGAATTGATATAGGCGGCTTATATACGTATCGCAATGCTGACACAAAATAATGAATTACTCGTTATCCGAACATTATTTATGAACTTTTATGATCGAACCATGTAAATAATACATTGCAGACCATTCTTCAATCATAAAAGTGCAGAAAATATATCCACAAAATGTGTAATTAATTATTCAAACTGTCCTCGTATATACCGTTTGTCACCGTGGCTAGCCTTAGGTTATTAATTAATAACTAATTATTTACAATAAAAATGTGAACATATGTGATATGAGAAAGTAACTAGGGAATCACTGAACATTCTTTAATCATAAAAGTTCATAGATTGTGCTCAGAAAGTGAGTAATTAACGATTTTGCATACTCATTATCGTGTATACATTTATAGTTTATAAATATACGTTTAGCAATTTTACATAAACGCGCGTTTTGGAAATACTAATATTGGTGATGTATAGGATATGCCACTCGTGTGACTTTTGTTCGTGTCGCAGAATCTGAAATACCGACATAAAATCTCGATTTTGATAGCTATTTTACCACGCACTTAATATTTCATAACGGTGGCCGTAGGAACTACGTAAAAAGAAAAACGATCGTGGTTGGTCAAGTAGTAAACGCGAGTAGTCAACGCCACAGCGAAGTTACATACGGTTACAGTATACGGTACGACTAATAATGGTAGGACCATATATTACATATATTGCGGAAATCTGGTATTTGGTGATAGAAAAAGTGTATCCGTCAGCGATGTGGCACTTTGTACCGCTCTTATATTCTAATTTAAATGTGCGAATAAAAGCGATACAAACTGGTGTTGAATAAAACAAATGCGTTATCAATGTTATTTAAAGAAGTATTTTGTAATTATATGTACAAAGTATTACATAGAAATAGGGATTTTGAAAAAGCCCTGTTTCCCAATGATCTTTTTTGTAACATTATGCTTACAGTACTAAAAATAAAAAGATCTTCGGATAGATTATCGATTTTCATACAAGAAATCATTCGTCTGACATACGATACGCGTGTAGTTGACATATTGGAAATAATTTATTCTACCGAAGAAACGATTAGTTCGGCAACTTCTTGGTCCTGACATAGTACAGAAAGTTGCATCGTTACTTGACTATCTGATAACGCTAATCTTGCGCGAGCAAGAACTTCTTTTCCTCCTCTAAAAACGCCGCTAAGTAACAAAAGATGCCAAGTAGCCCCCGATTGTACTCGATTAGATCGCTCTACAGCCTCCAAGCCTAAAAATCCTGTCAAGCTTTGAATCGCGCCTTCCAAAGTAGTGACCGATGGTCCTAATACAAATGTTTCTTCCAATTTGGTGTATCCTTTTGTAACCGCTACTTCCCACGCAGTACCGAAATCTAATCCACCGCTTCCCATTCCTTGGATTTGATCTGCCAATGTCACCTCCAAATCTTCCAACTAAAAAATCAATTTATTTCAAAATACACATTATAGGAAAGTTCACTTTCGTTTCGCGTTTCAATGACAATCATTTTAACGAGAGAAATATGCACCATATATTCGTCGTTATATCCTAGTTCAACATCTGGAAAACCTGTTGCAGGATCGCAGTCACGAGCCATAAACCGTAAAGTGGTAGGAATAGTAGCAACGCTAGCATGAACATCTTCTGGATATTTTAATACTGTATAAGTTGTGCCTGGCTCATTGTATGGTAAACGTGGACATGGAACTTCGCACATGATTCTATAGCTAAAAGTACAAACAAAATACTGCTTTACGTAAGTTGCAATATTTTTAACAAAATAATTCACAGCGTGATTACCCTTTAGGTGGTTCAACCGCTACTCTCACGTCCTCGAGTAACTGGTCGGAAAGAGTGTTTACGCAATCGAATTGCAACACGAGAAGATCCGTAAATGTATGTTTCACGCATTTAACGTTATATTCCGTTTCTGATTCCGTCAATTCGAAGACTGGCGAAGATTTGAAGAACGATGAATCGCGTACAATCATAGACAAATGTGGTATCTGTGATATTTTCTCCATGAAACTTTCTTCTCGCGTTAAACGAGGTTGTTGCTTCACTGTAGCTTGTATTTCCACTTGTGTCGGTTCCTCTATCGTTTGAGCCGGTGGTATCTATAGAATTTCGATTGAAATTAGAACTAGGAATACTGGGATTCAAAGTTACGGAGATCCTGGGATCACTGCGGCAATAAATATTGAAATGCAAGGATATAACGATTCCCTTTACCTGTGAGATATCGAATGGTTCGTCCATTGGTGTCCGCATGTAATTTTTCAATGCTCTCTCTAAGCTAGGTACAGAGAGAAGAGGGGGTTGTACCAAAGGTAAAACAGTTGGATCATTTTGTTGTTGAAGTATGGTGCAATAGTAAGCTGCGCGATCGCGAACTTCATCGTCGGAATCTAATTGACAGCGCGATAAGAGAACCAACACATTTGGAAGTAATGGCGGGCAGGCTGCAGCGAAACGTGCCAAAGCGGTGACTGCTGCAGCGCGTACGCTGGCACTTTCCAGGATAACCCGATTATAAATGAACCGAATATATCTAGATGGTTGTTTCGAAGTTGGCCCCTCCTGGCCAAGTAAGTGAAGGATGCGAACCGCCAGGGAAATATGTTCGCAGTCTTCGATGAATTCGCAAAGATGGGCCAAGCCCGCTTCCTTGGCTTCGGCGTTTCCTTCCATAACGGCGATTATCGTATCCACGATCGCTGCTTTATATTCGAGCCCTCCTTCGTCTCTCAACATGGCTGAAAGAAAGTTCATCAGAACAGCATGTTTCCGAGGGAACTTCTGACACAGAGCCCTGTGAAATAATATAAAAAAATAAAAACAAATCTTTCCTATTGATACAAAAATTGTCCACAATATAATTTTACCTTATAGCTTGTACAACTACCACTTTGAATTCGTCCGAAATTTCTGATACAAAAGTAGCGATCTGTTTCATCAAACGATCCACCGAACTTTCTGCCCCGGTTTTCAAAAGGGTGGTAATTGCAAGCGTAGCAATTGACCTATTTGAATCTGTAATTAAGTTTTCTAAATCTAAATTGCATGCTGTAACTGCTGCTGGATGGGTCATGGCAACTTTGTTCAAGGTTCTAACGGCAGCAAACCTTAACACTGGCTTAGGAGACCCACAGAACAGCTGAAGGACACTAATGGCATCCTGTATTTTTGAAGTATCTCTTCCAAGACTGACTAAAGTGTATGCTGCTTCGTATACTACCATTTCTGAATTATGACGCAAACAAGCTGCGAAGAAACTTAATATCTCATCTTCTCCTCTGACAATGTCTGGCAACAATTTACGACCCATTCTGATTAACATACACGTGGCATAAGGACTTCTATGACTTGCTCTAACAAGTTTTCCAAATAATTTAACTACAGCATGTTTGTCTGATTTGCGTGCTTGATACAACACACCCAGAGCATGATATCGAACCATGACATTACTGGAAAACAATGCTTCTTGAGCTTCGTTTGCCCACCTACGTGCAACATCTCCAGATACATTGGTTAGGTGCAACGAAGAAACTAAAGCTGCACTAGAAACAGCAGGAGAACGATCAACAATAGCTTGTTTCATGTAACGTTCGATAGCTGCCAACATCCCACCATCGGTAATAGTGCATAATGCTCTTATGGCAGCAGCTCTATATAAATCTTCTTTTCCAGTCATATCTGCGTACGCTGGCACTTTCCAGGATAACCCGATTATAAATGAACCGAATATATCTAGATGGTTGTTTCGAAGTTGGCCCCTCCTGGCCAAGTAAGTGAAGGATGCGAACCGCCAGGGAAATATGTTCGCAGTCTTCGATGAATTCGCAAAGATGGGCCAAGCCCGCTTCCTTGGCTTCGGCGTTTCCTTCCATAACGGCGATTATCGTATCCACGATCGCTGCTTTATATTCGAGCCCTCCTTCGTCTCTCAACATGGCTGAAAGAAAGTTCATCAGAACAGCATGTTTCCGAGGGAACTTCTGACACAGAGCCCTGTGAAATAATATAAAAAAATAAAAACAAATCTTTCCTATTGATACAAAAATTGTCCACAATATAATTTTACCTTATAGCTTGTACAACTACCACTTTGAATTCGTCCGAAATTTCTGATACAAAAGTAGCGATCTGTTTCATCAAACGATCCACCGAACTTTCTGCCCCGGTTTTCAAAAGGGTGGTAATTGCAAGCGTAGCAATTGACCTATTTGAATCTGTAATTAAGTTTTCTAAATCTAAATTGCATGCTGTAACTGCTGCTGGATGGGTCATGGCAACTTTGTTCAAGGTTCTAACGGCAGCAAACCTTAACACTGGCTTAGGAGACCCACAGAACAGCTGAAGGACACTAATGGCATCCTGTATTTTTGAAGTATCTCTTCCAAGACTGACTAAAGTGTATGCTGCTTCGTATACTACCATTTCTGAATTATGACGCAAACAAGCTGCGAAGAAACTTAATATCTCATCTTCTCCTCTGACAATGTCTGGCAACAATTTACGACCCATTCTGATTAACATACACGTGGCATAAGGACTTCTATGACTTGCTCTAACAAGTTTTCCAAATAATTTAACTACAGCATGTTTGTCTGATTTGCGTGCTTGATACAACACACCCAGAGCATGATATCGAACCATGACATTACTGGAAAACAATGCTTCTTGAGCTTCGTTTGCCCACCTACGTGCAACATCTCCAGATACATTGGTTAGGTGCAACGAAGAAACTAAAGCTGCACTAGAAACAGCAGGAGAACGATCAACAATAGCTTGTTTCATGTAACGTTCGATAGCTGCCAACATCCCACCATCGGTAATAGTGCATAATGCTCTTATGGCAGCAGCTCTATATAAATCTTCTTTTCCAGTCATATCTTTTGTCAGACTAGATGTAACTATAATTACATCTTCTGCAACGGAACTTAGTTCCTTGATACCTAAATACACCAATCGTCTCAGTACAACATCTCTGGATTGAAATAATTTTGTCATAGCGAAGAACACGTCGGTAGCTTCCATTGTACCCAATTGTTCTCCTTGGTTTAAGAGGTACAATATTTTTGTAAGAATGTGCGCGCATTTTCTTGGATTAACTGGAGTGTCATTGAAGGTGCGAGCTTCCTGAAGAACCGTTGTCTTCTCCAGATTTTGGAATTGGTTTCCCCCACCTAAGGACATAAGAATCATGTGAACAATTATACACTACAATTTAGTTTCTGTGAATTACTTGTTCTAGTGGTGTATTTAAATTCATAGTTGCAAAAAGGGGAACTCAAGTTACGTGAAATAAAAGAATTCATTGAAGAAAATCTATCTTCTACGATGAACAATCGTCTAAACCTGTTTACAAGGAACTGTCATAATGATACACTCGATTCTTCTAATCTTGCTAAGAAACTCAAAGTTATGAGAATGGATCAATGTTTATTTATGATTACCATCTTCCTCCTCTTTTTTCTCGCGTTTAAAAGCATTCATTTTGTAAAACCACTACCGGGAAACTGGAAAAAAGGGGACACGTCAGCTCAGCTCCTTCGCATGGGAACCATTACAACGGACTCCGCCGTGTACAGTGGCAAAAACCTGAAACTGTACGAACACATTGAACATATCGTTGCAGTGAAAGTTGTTTATTATCTACTGCCGATAAAATATCTGTTCAAGATGGAACCACAGATCAATTTTCCACAAATTTCGCGGCTTGCGACACACCCACCTATTTATTTGTTTCACATTCCACGATAGATCATACTCAAATTGCATAACTTGGCCACTTTCAACAGGTTCCCCACTACCATTCGATTTCCACTTCATTGGTCATATACACGGTGGACAAAGTATATCGAATAAAATTTAAGAAAAAAATGTCCAATACCATTTTTAAATATGGTACATACAAAGTTTCAATGTAGAGCCATAGTGAAGGCCACCGCAGAAAATTTCTAAATTTCTAATACTAGTAGGTCAACGTAAGGAATTAATGGGATTATTCTTTTACAGCATACAATTAAAACCAATGGAGTTATAAAAAACGTTCACAAATAATATTCGAATGAATTCGCAAATTACCATTTGATCACGTTTTCGTTTGTCATTATATACATGTAAATGCACGCATCTATTATTAGCTCTGTTTGAAAATAAAGATGTTAAATTTCTGTTTTACCGACTAGGCATTTTACGATTTTACGATATAGGATTGTTTGGCTTCCTCTTAAAAATGGCTGCTGTACTGGATGAAGTCGGCAAATCTGCGGAAAAATTAGTAAACGAGGAAAGGGATGAAATTGTTGACGAAGAAGATGAAGCTGGTGCAGTAGAAGCATCGAAGAAGAAGAAGAAGAAGAAAAAGAAGAAGAAAGCCGGTGTGTTATTTAATGTGTATTATTGGGTGTATACTCGTTTACACAAGTTCACGAATTATCATGTGCTTCGTATATTCATTTTTTACAATTTTCGATCAAGAGTCTGTACTTTCATAATCTCATAGTTCATTTCGGTTTTTGTTGCTTAATTGTACCCATAAAATTATAAGTTCGTCAAATGAAATGAATTATAAGATATAACCATCAACGACGGAAGTCACTTTGTACCTGTTTTTATAGACTTCCTGTTATCATTTACTTCACGTTCAAATTTTTTACAGGAGCTGGTGAAGCTAGCGCAGACGTTCCAGAAGGAGAAGTAGAGGAGGATAAAGCAAAAGAGGACAATACAGCAGGCGATGGTAATTTGATTAAAAAAAGAAAAAAGATTTAATTCATTTGCAATAGATGATATATTAGTGTTTCAAAGCTACGTTGACCATTTACACAGATGGCATACTAGTATGTTGAAATTGTAACAAATATCAGGAGGTATAAACAAATGTATAACAAAATTTAAGAAGAATCGTAAGACAAATAGTTAAAACTTAATGTAATAAAACTATTATATTTCTTGCATTTAAATTTTTATAACTTTGATATTAACAAAATGTTGAACTGTTAAACAGTTATCGTGTTCTTTTATTGTCTATGGTTCAAACATTTAACATCGTTTCACAGATGGTGGTACCGAAGCAGCAGAGAATGATGCGGATACAGAAGATGCCAAAAAGAAAAGGAAGAAACGTAAATCACGTGGCAAGGCTGGCGGTGTTAAACAGCAAACAGATCCACCATCTATTCCTGTATCAGAATTATTTCCTGATGGAAACTTTCCGGTAGGACAAATAATGGATCATCCTTCTGCAGCAGGAGTAGACGATAGAACAGCAAAGGAACGTTTTTCAAGCGAGGAAGCACGCGCTTTTGATAGAATGCATAATGATATATATAACGAGGCAAGACAGGCGGCTGAAGCTCATAGGCAAACAAGGAAATATATTATGAAATGGGTATGTTATAACTAAGAGGACAATACAAACAGATTTTATAACCATGTAATATTTTCAGGTGAGATCAGGAATGACAATGATAGAGATTTGCAACGAACTGGAGAATACGGCTAGAAAATTGATAGGAGAAGATGGATTTAAAGCCGGGTTAGCATTTCCAACTGGCTGTTCTCGAAACCATTGCGCTGCTCACTATACACCAAATGCTGGTGATCCAACTGTCTTGGAATATGATGATGTTACCAAAATAGATTTTGGTACACACATAAACGGCCGGATTATCGACTGTGCATTTACATTGGCATTTAATCCGAAATACGATAAGCTTATTGAAGCAGTGCGAGATGCTACGAATACCGGAATTAAAGCAGCTGGAATAGATGTTCAACTTTGCGATGTTGGTGCTGCAATTCAAGAAGTTATGGAGTCATATGAAGTTGAATTGGATGGTAAAACTTATCAGGTATATTCACAACATCCGTATTGCGTAAATTTTTCTCTAGTTTCGTATTTCATATCATATTATTTTATCTGTTTGTAGAGTTGATTTAAAATATGTATTTTTACTTTGTAGGTGAAATCCATAAGAAATCTTAACGGCCATTCGATTGCTCCGTACCGTATTCATGCTGGAAAAACTGTACCAATAGTTAAGGGAGGTGAAGCTACCAGAATGGAGGAAAATGAATTTTACGCGATTGAGACTTTTGGATCCACCGGAAGAGGAATTGTACACGACGATCTAGATTGTTCTCATTACATGAAGAGCTTCGATGCCGGTTTTGTTCCGCTGAGATTACAAAGCAGTAAATCATTGCTTAACATGATCAACAAGCATTTCGGTAAATATTTATTTATCAAAAATTTCCATTTCTCATTTATTCACACGGACTTGCAGTAGGTCGAATCGCATATTTGGAGAATTTCTACGTTAAAACGTTGTATTTGTTGTGATTTTAGGTACTCTGGCTTTTTGTAAACGATGGTTGGATCGCGTTGGTTGTACAAAGTATCAGATGGCTTTGAAGGATCTGTGCGATAAAGGCGCGGTCGAAGCTTATCCACCTTTGGCCGATGTGAAAGGATGTTACACTGCTCAGTTTGAGCACACCCTTGTTCTACGTCCAACATGTAAAGAAGTAATTTCCCGTGGTGACGATTACTAAAATGTCTATTGTTTTGAATCCGTGTTACGTATACTCGTCGATACTTTTTGTCTGGGAATGTACAAGTTGGTCTGTGTAAAATCACATTAACGATAAATGTTACTAATTGATAACGCGATGTTTAATTATATCACCTAACAGTACTTTATTTTCATTGTTTTTCTTTGATCAGCACAAGTATCGTAACTGTAATAATCGAAGTCAATTTCGTTCAGAATTGTGTTCAATATTTTTTCTTCAATGAACTTATCATATTCCGTGGATGGGTGAAAGTGAAAGAAAAGAAAAAATATTTTCGATGTCGAATAAAATATATTTAATACTTTAATTGTTACCAATGAAAATTCAAGCTATTACGGTTGGTTTGCATTGATCAGAATCGAATGCACTTAATGTAGTAGTGCTAGAATTCAAAGTTACAAATAGTATCTCAGTTTGCTAATCATTTATCTCACTGTTTCATGTAATTGTACGTTATATGTATTACGTTAGGGAAACAATAGAATCGAGTGTACTTTATTAACCCTTCCATTGCGGATGGCGTACATAAATGTCAACGAATGTCATTTCTTTCAAGAACATCTACAGAGACTATTACAGAGGCGTTGACTTACGACGTTCCTACGAGTATATCGATTAAAACGGTATGACATAACAACACATGTTTTATTTTCTTCTTGAATCATGAACAATGGAATATAATAAATGCTGCTACATCAACCTATTTGAACTTGTATTTCCATTTAATCGCTACGAGTTTAATGGTCCCAGGGTACCCGAGTCTACCGATTTCATCTATTGTGATAAAATGATCTGCACTTGATATATTTAGGTCTAGTCTTTGTATAGAAATTCAGGCACGATGATAACCTTGGAGGACACTTATACATTTTATACATATTTTTTTATCTCTGGATCTCATTCTCTTATTTCTCTTCGTGGCTAATTATTAATTAAATATCGGTACTTGTCTCTACGTGAGAAAGTTCTATTATGTAACAAGATGTTGAACCGAGCCAATGATCAGATAGGCTACGTTTTCAAGGAAAGCGCTTCGTAAAGGCCTATTCGTCACGAGCTTCGATCAGAGATGCGGGAGATTCCGAACTTTCGAGGCTCGGGATCATTCGCGCACTTTTAGCTTTAACCGTTTGTCCTTTCTTGGGTAATCGAATGAAGTAACGAGAACGCGGTGCACCATAATATCATATCAAATATTGTACACTCACGTAGGCACGATAGATGTTGGTCTAAGGATATCTATGGCCTTGATAAAACTTGTCAGCTTTCGTGACAATATTTAGAGCCGACGATTTCTAGAATTAGTATTTAAAAAGGCCATGTTCGAACGCACGCACGAATACAAATTTGCTTCCACGCGAATCGTGGATTACAACATTACAACTAAACTATCTAACAAGACTAATGTCATTTATATATAAAAACGAGTCGACGAATCGTCTAGCGTACACGTGTGACGACTTTGGAAGAGTAAGGCAATCGTCTACTTCGACACGAAAGACGCACGAGTTAGGTAGCGTATCATGTTTATCCCTTTCGCTATATTCTTTAATCGTTTGTCGTGTACGAGACAACGATCACTGCTCAGTGAATCGAAACAACGCTCTGGAGATGACAGGTTGAATCATTATAATTTGGCGGCTCTGATAATTAGTTCCCCTAATATAGAAAAACGTGTGATAGAAAATATAATTCCTATTAGCAGGGCACATCGAACAATCGAAATTAATTTTTTCTTCCAACTCTCTTATTTTATCATGCTGAAACTACTAAACATGGATGACACAGCATTTAAGGAGTTAACAATTATTCAATCATTTTGCATATCATATTTTGAACTGCGCAGAAATTAAATATGAAATTCTCACAAGCTTGAACCATATATAAGAGGATTAAGAATAACAAATGTACATTAGATAAGATTAAAAGACAAATATAATAGTATCACTTTCGTGCAGTACTTATCTTGTCATCTGCTTATTTATACGTAGATCGAATAATTCAGGCGATCACTGGTATTTATCATAAATATTCAAATTTAAGACCACCAAATTTATTCGTGACAAGTTCTTTTTATACAGTGTAGACTCCTCTTTAATAAAAGTCATGTTTCAATCGAAAACAGAAGTCGAAGAGTGACTTGCGGAAGAATTAATTGGAATTATTCGATGTGCTCCGTACATGACTCATCTGTCAACGTATACATGTATACGTTCCTTAAAGCGAAAGAGTCAAGATACGCCTAGAACGAATGAAACCTATCGACAGATACGATTCGTTTTCTTCTTCCTACTTCCAATCGCGTTACTCGACAGATCACGCTACAACGTTTCCATCTACGGTTACGAGTTATTGTATAATCTTCTTTTGTTTCTAACGAGCTCTTGTCAGATTACGTATATATATGTACAGGATGAAGTAAGAAAACGCGATAAAGCTCCGCGTCGCGACGCAACGCTTCGATCGTTGCTCTCCCGCACGACGGCGTTACTCATCGCGTTTCACGATCGATCTTCTTCTCTGCGTCGTTTCTTTTTCTTTTTCTTCGCTTCTCCTTCGTTTGTACAATTCACTGAGAATCTGTGCGTGGTCTCAGCTTCGCTCTTGCCGTAGCCAACAGATTGCTCGGTGGCTCCGTGGTTGCTTGCGATTGCTCCAACTGAACAACGAAATTTTCATTTATTTATTTATAAGATCTATTATTACAACGATTAATAACGGCAGCTATTATAGACAAATGCAAAGATATAGATGGAATCTTGATCTAAATTCAATATGCGAATTTTCTTCGGAAAACTGGACACTCGCGTGGCAAATTGAGAGCCTTTTGACGGTCATGTTTGAAATAAGAAAACGGGATAAGTCTGAAGATCATTGAAACTCACTGTCATCTCGATGTGCTTCGCCCTCTGCTCGATGGCTCTTTGCAACGCCGTTCTCGGATCGTCTTTAAAATTCTCCTCTCGATTCTTTTCAGCCTCTCTCCTGGACGCAGCTTCTCTTTGCTTCTCGAGCGCTCGTTGTAGCTCGCTTTTCTGATTCAGCACGTTTTTGCCTCTGAAAGAAAGTGAAAACCGATGTGGTTAGCTAATTTACGCGTCCACGCTTCTGCACGCGTGAAAATCGCCGCGATGAGAAAAAACTGTGCACGAATCACGTCTCGATTGAATAGGCTTTAGACCGGTGGCTCTTTTTTTAAAGGTGTAAGCGCCAGTGGCTGGGAATTAGTCACGAGGACGTTAACAGGAAACGATTTACTCTACGATAGTCGTGCGAATTGTTTCGACACGCGTTTCTTTACCGTCGTAATGGTAAATATGCGGCGTATTATAAACAGTCTCGAATAACTTAACAGGTTGAAGGGATTCATGCAGAAAATTCGATCACCGAATAGCGTCGACACCGATCGATGTCTCTCTCTAACGGTTTCGTTTATTTGGACCGAGTTGCACCTGTTACTCCGTGCACGAACGCGATACGCAGAAGAGAAAGGACTTACACTTTCTGATTGAACAACAGCTCCCTACGGAGGTCTTTATGGTTGCTGGAGGTGAGGTAGGGGTTGTATGGTTTTCTCGGTAAGATTAAACCGTCTGGTCCCATGTGAGGGGCAGGTGGTGGCGGAGGTGGTACACCTAGCACTGGTGCCATTTTCCTTCCTGAAAAACAATTTATCGTCAAATGTTTAAATGTCGCATAACGTAGTCGCATCGTTATTTTCTAATCTATTACCGATCGCGCGTACAACGATTCCATTTTCATAATTGTTGCAAAAATTTATTTGAAATCACACAATTTTTTAAATGGCGAACAATTGCAGTATCGAAATACGAATGACAAGCGTTCGAAGAAACTGTTTATAAATGGATAAAATATCGCCGTGAAAGAAGGGAAAGTGTCGATTAGAGATGACGACTCAAGACATAGATAAACAATTCTGATCGATGGTTAGGTTTCGAAGCGCTCTCGCTATTTTTATAAAGAGGGGTTACACAGTAGGCGACATTACACGGGAAAATGTTTCAATTAGCACCGATCACATCGATAAACGTATTGAACGTAAATATAATTAAGAAGCACACATTTCTGAATGATTATGTTGCAACAGTGTCTAAACGTCCACTCGAAACTTGAATGAAATCGAAGAAACGAGAGTGTCCATAGTCTATACACTTAGCGACTTAACGAGACACTTAAATCGTGAGCAAACGTTTGAAAAAAACACTCCGGAGAATCATAAAGCATCGCGTCGACTTCCTGTCTACGGTGAAGTAGCCGTTCCAGTAGTTGTAAGAAAGTCGCGAGAATAATGAAAAGAAGGAGAAGCGAGAAAGCTGGAAGGTAAGCATTTCGGACGACTAAGCTACTAGAGTTAGAGCTACTAGAGCGAATGCGAATGTAACCGTGTGGTCGAGACTTTATTCACCCTCGAGTAAGGCGATTCTCGCCCTCACCGAACCCTCCTCGTCGCACATCGCGCTGGATAACACTGCCAGCCATTTCCGGCCGAACCGTATCAAACAACCGACTTCTATATACTTTTGCGTGGGGCTTCGCATAGCTGCTAATCGGATAGAAAAGTACCGCGGCACTGAACGCCGCGTACCTGCTACCTTTATGCCCTCAAGGTGAAGTAAACAACGCGCTTTTATTCCATTAAACCGAATTCCTCTTCTCGACCTGCGCGAGGAACTAGATCATGCGCTATTATCGCTAAAATTAGTATCTGACGCTGTTCGATACAAACATAACATAGTTTTGTGTTTTACTTCAAAGCGCGTTTTGTTCGGATCTCTTTTAATCGAACGATTACTAAATTTTCTACCGTGCATTATCGAAACGTTTAGCGAGAAACCGATAAACCGTTTCGAATTTCTGAGATTCTAGGAAGCACGAATGATCCTAGAAACACACTTCGAGCGAATACCGGTCGGAAAGTTATCGGATAGCGTAGCTGATTTATGAGCAGCTGGAACACATCTTTCTTCCGGTACTGTTTCGCTATCCTGAGGATTCCTGAAACTTGTTTCTTATCGTACGTTGATTTTATGGCGAGCGAAATCTATTTTTCGTCTTATTTCTACCTCGCGCTGAAAATTACACTCGCGTACAAAAACAGGAATCTTTACGGTATAAAAGTTCGACTTTTCTTCAACATAGTATAATTATCATTTTGTACAATTAAGCGATAGAATTTAATTCTTCGACCTGATTTTAAATATTTGTCGTAAATCTTACATTTCGCGCGTCATTCAACGCACTAACAATTTTATGCGAAAACGAAAATTACACGCATCATCTATAAATCTATCAATTATTCGATCAGTTTTGAACGATCTAATTAATACTGTGATTATATAGGTATATTAAGAAAAAGAACCGTTACATTAATGGACAGTTTCTCTGAAACGCTGATGCGGATACTTTCCTATGTCCGTCATTAAATCCATGGTTTAAGACGCTGCGAAACCGAATACCGGTGAAAGTAACGATTTTGGCTACGAAACGAATTACATCGTTTATTCCTTTTTTCGTCAATTCCACTCTAAGACTATTTGGTACGATGAATAACTCTATTGTGTAACTCTATTGTGTTGGTTTCTAGTCGTAATACGTATAACATATTTCAGATTCGGTAGAATAGGTTCTCGTTATATCGCTATCTTCAGGTGCACACTAATGGTACTCCTCTATTATCATTAGGTGCGCTGCAATGTCCAAGAAGAAAACTTCCAATTTCGAGGTTGTTCTTACAGCTCTGTTAGTGGGCAATTTAAAGAAAGTGTACGTCTGTTATACTCTCCGAGACAAAAACTTCTGAATGTATCGCAGATAGTAGGTTACCGGTGAAACGCGTTAATCGGTAATTAAACGGTAAATCGGTCGATTATGTCCCAGGACGGTGCATTTTCCTCGGAGATTTGTCTGTTTCAGCTGGAAACGCTGATTAAAGGGGGGATAGGGTTAAAAAGGGGGAGGAAGTGGGGGCAGAATAAAAATGCGGAGCCGGTCAGGATGTAATTTTGAGGCAGATGTGCGGGTATACGAGAGGGAGATCATTGCACCGCGAGCAACGAGCAGCTGAAGTAGCGTGAGAAAATGTGGCGACCGCTCCTCCGACAGATGATAATGACCGAAGGGCAAAGTCAGGGCTGTAACGATTTGTCGGATTTGCCGCGAAAAATTTACATAAATTTTCGATTATTCCAAGAGGGATTTAACGAGGAGCGTCAATTTTTTATCCTTGTCACAGACCATCAACACCGAACAGTTTTTATTGCTAGCATCTTATTACGCGTTTTTAGACAAATTTAACGACGATAATTTATGAGATATCTTTACGAATATCTTTACGTAATTAAACCATGAATTCCAGGACTTCAGTTTTGTTCCAGTTGGCGAAATTGGAACTTTATAAAATTTTAACGTTTTCGTTTAATTTCGACGCTTCGTAAGTTGTCCTTGGTACAGCGAGAGGTGCTATCATATTTTATACATATGTTATTATAGTATAAACGTCCGCAGTGATCGCTAACTGCAAGGGGCGCGTACAATACCGAGGCAGGCGACAGAGTGCTTTTCAGCATGGGATTCGATGAATGAAAGCAAAGCGTACCGACGTAAAGCCGCGCCGCGGTACAACTATATCAAAGACGGATCTAACGCGCCGCCTTTTGTGGCCAGTTAGGGGTATTTAGGAGGGAATCATTGTTAAATTGTAACTAGGAACTAAGAGATGCATCGATGACGCGTGACTCACCGTTCGTTAAGCCGTGACAGCTGTCCGTTTCGTTCTTCACACCGTTAGTGATCACCTGAAAACACGTACACTTGATTAACGGACATGCAGGCTACAGTTATTGATGGGAAAAAATTCGCATTCTGCGCGCGTTCCGCCTCGAAAACCCCGCTAAACCAGTTGCATGCTAATGCGTGTTCCGCTAACGGGGATAATTGAAGTTTCCGTCGCGGAAATTTACCGGAAAACGATTTTCCGCCGTATGGCTGTAAGAACAAATCGGAAAAAAGTGGACATTTCCTTTCTTCGTGACGCGCAACCTCTTTGTACGAAAGCTTCCTATTGTTCTCGTTTTACAGAGAATCTCTTGACAACGGTAACGTGTCCGTTTTGCCACGTTTTCATAAATTAAGGCTGAAATTTTGCTTGATACGAAGAATCAGAATTAGGGAGAGAATCGATTTCGGGGAGAAACGCTGACAACGTGCCAGGGTGTAGTCGCTACTTATTATACGTAATATTTCGTGTCGGTCACAGATTTTTTTAATATTGCGATTAAACAAATTTTCGAAAGAAACAAAGCAGATTTTCAATGTAAACACGCTAAATTGCCCCGAAGAAAGAATCGAAAGTCTGATCCTCGTAAACGTTATACAGTTTCTCTCGTGACTCGTCATCGATGATTTCACCGCGATACCAGCGTTGTCGTCGCGAATTCCGAAGACTCGCGTTAACCGGTTGCAACAAAAACGCTAATGCGATCGCTAATCGGCAAACCTCGATGAGATGTTTTTTTTCTGTTTTCTCTTTAAACGACAGATACACGATCGAAACGATTTTGTTGGTGCACTTCGTGTCCAGCGGTTCTGGTTATCGCGGAAACTTCCGTTTTCGATATCAACGCTCGATAACGCTCGAATTCCGCAGGAAAATCGTGAAATGAGTATCTTGTTACTCTAAACCGTTGATGTTTCAATGACCGAAATTTTTCTTCCTGGTTATTGACCGAATAAGTATTCTAATTTTCGAATATTCAGAATATAAATGTAATAAATATAAATGTAAAAAGAATATAAATGTAAAAAGAAATTGAAATTGAATTTGAGTCGTTAATGATACGTTTGAAAGCTTAATTAAACGCGGAGGTTTATAATAGCGAAGATCGAATAAATTTGTTTAATTTTCTACTTCAAGTTTATGATCATGCGTGGCCTAAATTTTATCCGTTTTCATTGTATGAATAATTAAAATGCAAGTGTTTTATATCGCGATATAACACCGTTTACATAAGTATCGACTATTTAATTGGCGCTCGCGACGCTTTCGACCTGTGGAAAGCAATTGTTCACCGGAAACGAGGTTCGTTGCGTGAAAAAGAAAAATATTACCGTATAATTATAACGACACTGAATCGGTACAGTGCAGAAGAGAGTGAAAGTGGGCGAAAGTAAAAAATGAACGAGGCGCGATTAATAGCTGTATCACGTTATTAAACATTTTAACGTAACTCTTTTCATCGGTCTTCAAGATCTTACCGTTAAAAGCCAAAATACTATCGTGTACGCGACTTCTCGAACCTAAATTTTTCTCTTCGAAAAAATTACTCGTTAAAATAAGAATCGATAATTGGACAGAATATCGGTATAATGGAAAAACGGAATAACAAAATGGTAAGATATGATAAATGTGGGAAACGAACTCGTTGGGTCTATAATAACAGGTGTATTTTACATATCTATACAGCTAACAAGTGCCAGCAGATACTCTGACAAACGGCTTTTAGTAACGAAAGGGTGAAGGCTAACACCAACGCGTTTCTAAGGGCTTCGAAAAGAGAAAGATTTGAAAGTTTGGTCAAAAGTCGAGAGCAAGTGGCGAATAACGAACTGCAGCCGCTTTTAGCCTACTTTTTCTGTGCATTGTCGGGCCTGTTCTTTCAGGGAGCAGCTAAAAACAACGGGCACAGGCGAGGTATAACGTTGACGAGAAGAGAACTAGCTGGGGGTGTCGTCGTTACGTAAGCACGTTTTGTAGGACACCTTTTGTCGCGATTCTTTTTTGAAACTACGAAAGAACGGTATTCACAGGTGCACAAAAGCCGAGGACGTGACAGATTTTGCCAACGCGCGATACTCGATGAAACTATGCAGTCTTGCATCGCTTTGGACGAACAACGTTCCGCCATTCGTTTTTTATATGCGAATACTGCAATTTGGGGATCTATGACTCCGGGAACATAGAATTCTACAGGAAAGACGTAAACGATTTTACTCGTAACGTTTCTAGCGTGCGGACGGAGACTACTTTTCATGGAGCAGCCTGTAGTTTACCTCAGATTCGTTCATAGTTGATCTAGTCAAGTTTTCCATGAATACCTCACGCGTCGAACAACCTCGTACACGTACTCTGAATCATTCCGATGTATAAGATGATTCACAAATGTATCACTTCGAAGATAGCGGCGATTTGTCTATTCGTTTAAAAGTTTAATCTTCTACGACTCATAAATTGCACGAATCAAATTTTATACGAAGAAAAATCACTGAAACGACGCGAGTTGCCTCGCTTCGTAAAGTGCAGAAAAACACGTGTCGCCGAAGGAAAAGTTCGAACGATGCAGCGTTAAATCCGTGTAAAAACCGAAACAGCTTCCGAGTTTTGTCGGATTTGTCTTACATCGCAATGTCAAGTGCGAAATGAAAAGAGCCGCGCAAAAACGATCGCGTTACAAACGTGAAGTGCGAAACGTACTTGAGCGACAAGTTCGCGAACACGATGACAGCTAATTGCAGGCGTAAACGCGTGCGTAAAACGCGCGGAGAGCGTGAAGAGGAAGGACACGCGCATTCTTGAAACTGGGAGCGGCCGATATGTTGCTTGTCTCTGCTTGCCACCCCACCGTCTGCTGTTTACGTACAACGTACGATACACGCGCCGGTTAAACGAGTTACGATGAGCTTTAGCTGGGGGGATCGTAAGTCCGGAAGGAAGTGGAAAATATTAACCGTTCCTCGGGGGAGTTTTGCATTGTGCTCGGTGCTAACGATACCGAAGGGGACAACAGCCTTTTCCCCGATGAATTTTTCAACGCTTCCTACTATACGTCGATGGATTTACCGACTCTGCGTAAAATACTCTGATAGGTCGTGTTATTTAAAAAAAAAAATTCTGTCGAATCTGTTCGACGGATCATTTCGAGAAAATCGCGTTTCATTCTGCTCGAATGCACCTGTAGCGTCTAGCAAAAATCGTATACGAATTCGTTTCGATTCGCGAAAGCGTCGACGAATGTTGCTCGAGTTTATTCAAAAATGCGGGAACATATTAGGCGCGTTATAACGAGGTTGCTTGCGTCGCTATTTACAATCTGTTTATCGAGCCATTCGTTCCACGATTCATTATAATTATAAACGTACGAGTCGCAAAAAACTTGTGCACTTTAATGCGCAAGCGGAGAAACTCGAAAACGTTAATAAAGAAATCGAGCGACGTTAATCGAGAGTGACGTTCTCGATGGCTGGTGTCGCCCTAACGAGCAATTTCGTTCAGCTTCGACAGGTTACAGGATAAAACTTAATTCCCTGTACGCTTTCACCGAAGCTCTGGAACCGAAAGATCGTATCTCCAACCGTACTTGTTCATTGTATCAACGATATAGGTAAAACTGGCAAAAACTTGTTCTTGCCTCTCGTAAACTACGTGTTTTTCTTCCGAGTTCGATAATACTTTGTTCGGTCTTAATTACAACGATTCATTGCCAAGTTCGTCGGAAATATTATTTATTTCGATATTTTCAAACTACTTCGACAAACGATCGTAGGTCCGATATGCACCGACCGATCGATACGCGTGCGGGACGATGTCGTCTGAAAATGTCTGTACACGAATTAGAATGTACGAGAAAAATAAAATCTCGCAAAGGAGAATACGTTTAAGGGGCAAGGAAAGAATTGTCGTAACGGGAATTTCCTTAGCTGGTGCATCGAACGAGGACACCGACAGGGATTAACGGGTTCGATGCAAGCAGAGGGGCGAACATTTTGTTTTAAACAAAAGTTCGTCGGGTAGCGTATTATATCGACGAGGCAGCGAGAACTCACGCGTCGGTGAATCGAATTGCAAAACGCTTATAAGTATGCGCGGTCGGTTCGCTCCGTTCATATGCTCGATTGCTTCAGGACACACGGACGTTTCAACGCGTCTGACGCCTCACGCATCGATCTGTTTCCTTTTCTTCTTTTCTTTTCTCTCGCGTAAACATTCCACGCGTTTGCGCACCTTTCGAACCAGGGTGCGTCCAAATACGACCACGTGCTCGATCGTTTTGCCGCGCTTTTCAAAGCGGCGATTTGGAGAAACGCTAAAGCGGACCGAACGTTGCGCCAATATCTTGCTCTGTATACAAACTCTTACGCGGTGATTCCGGCCGAGCAAGTAAGCTGCATATTATTAACGCCGTTCAAATCTATGCATTACTCAACATCTTTCGTAACGTTGTTAACCAGCGTATTAACGAGCAAATACGAGAAGCGTTCGGAACGATTCTCCGATTCGACGTCCGCGAAAATGAAAGTGGGTTTAAACAGATATCATCGCATACTTTATACTTGTTTCCTAGAACAGAACTTTTAATCTGATCGATCCGGATTAAATTTTATATAGTTTACTGGGCTTCTACGTAAAATATAGTTTAAAACTATGCGAAAAATGTAGGCTATCGTGAAACCTGTATACTTCAATCATTTATCCTGTTAATACCTCGCTAATTTCCAATGATATTTATCATCGAACCGAACTGTACGCTGACTATCGTGGAGGTTTTATCGATCAATGAAATTGTTAGGACTAACGATTCGAAATTCCAAAGCAAAGCTTTAAATTAACAAATTAACAATCCACGTTGTCCTGTGCCTTAGTTGGCATAGTTATTTCTACTGTCAAGTATTTATACATGGTAAGGTCCAAAAATGTCCGACCTGACTACGTTTAAACAAAGAATGACGTGTTTTGTCAGTGAGTCGCTACAAAAGGATGCAAACCTCGATTCTCTAACCCACATTTGTCGCGATCGAAACG